ACTTTGTTACTGTACTTAAGAACATGTTTCTGGTATCAGTACTTTACTCCACTACTTATTTTTCTGACCACTTTTTACTTTCTACTTCTTACATGTTGAACACAAATACCTGTACTTTCTACTTCTTACATGTTGAACTCAAATACCTGTACTTTCTACTTCTTACATGTTGAACACAAATACCTGTACTTTCTACTTCTTACATGTTGAACCCAAATACCTGTACTTTCTACTTCTTACATGTTGAACCCAAATACCTGTACTTTCTACTTCTTACATGTTGAACACAAATACCTGTACTTTCTACTTTCTTACATGTTGAACACAAATACCTGTACTTTCTACTTCTTACATGTTTGAACACAAATACCTGTACTTTCTACTTCTTACATGTTGAACCCAAATACCTGTACTTTCTACTTCTTACATGTTGAACTCAAATACCTGTACTTTCTACTTCTCACATTTCCCAAACAGGCTGGTTCCTTTAGTTTGAATGTGTGTTTGGTGGCGTGATCATTATTATTTAGAGTCATTGCGTGCCTATTGATTTGAACACGATCCGTGTATCCATCATTTCCTGGTCTTCTCTAAAGAAGAGGGACCAATGAAAACGTTGTCATGTTGCCGTTGTTCAGCATGGAAACATTCATTAGCTAACAATGACATTATTGTTCTATTAAAGCTCCCATGTCATGCTTTTCCGGTTATTACCCGTCCCCTTGTGTATGAAGGTTTTTATGCATGTAAACGGTGTGCAGAGTCAAAACCCTCAAAGTACACCCTGTAGCGAGTAAACTCTAACACAGAAAATACCTCCCCAAAACGCCTCGTTGGAGATACGTCACTGCCCATTTGAGTCTTCCATTTAGTTCCGGGTACGGCATGATGTCATGCGGTACCCGGAACGAAATGGACCAATCCCGAAGAGCGATGGCCACACCCAGCGGCGCTGGCCGCACCCTCTGCCAGCCTAACATTTACTGTTGGAAGCTCTGGTTCAGTTCACAATCGATCCAGTCATGCCACTGCCAAGGACCTGTTTCCTGAAATGTGAGGAGAAATCTGAGCTGTTTGTCCTACCGACGGAAGAACCACCACGAAGTCAGTGGTTGAAATTTATTTTTAACACTGTTCCTTCAGAGGTTCGAAGAACGTTACTGTGTGCGCGGCATTTCACAGACGAAAGCTTCCAAAACATTGCCCAGTTTGAGGCCGGATATGCACAGCTTGTTTGGACCGTTTGGAGCAGGGGAAGATTTGGGTACACAACCTGTAAGTTTGCATTGTTATTTGTGTATTTATCAAACAAGACTGTTTAAATGTATAAACTGTGTCGGACTGCTAAGCTATTGACACAGTGCTAACTGTGCTAACTAAGTTGCTAGCGTTTCCATATATCAACTCTAATATCAGCAGATGGCCTTGCATACATGTATCTCATAGCAGGAGAATGTCTGCATTCACACACGAAATACTCATAGACAGTATACTCCGGGTGATTTGCCGTACGGTCAGTCGCGAAACGTAATTACATTATAGCTGGCGTAGCGTGTATGCTACCGAGCTAACCAACGGAGCTACATGGGTTTGCTCGGGAAAACACGTTCTTGCTAGCCTAATATGAATCACTAGCTTTTGTTCATAGTGGTTTTATTACACTAAACAAGCCCAGCTCATAAAGTATACTCCGGGTGATTTGCCGTGCATTGTGACAGTACATGTACATACTGCATGTCAGCGACGTGCAGTCAGTGGAGGCAGGGGAGGCAGAGCCTCACCTGTCATACTCCAATGTAACGGAAAAACAATTAAAGAAAAACTAAATAGTAATAATAATAAAATGTCTCCACTGATCTGTGTAAGTGTGATTTCTGTTTGATTCTAATCGCTTTTTATAGTCAAAATCAGCAAATTTGCCGAGCTCCGCTACGGGAGCGATGAGAAGTGAGGCAGGGACGAGCTCTGCCTCTCGTAAGCCCACAGTAACTTGCTGGAGCACGGGCACTAATTTAGCGCGGCCACTTATTTTGTGAGCGCGCTCCAGCCAGTTACTGTGGGGTGAGGTGAGGCACAGATGAGCTCTGCCTCACCTCAGAATGCGTCACCCCACAGAAACTGGCTGGAAAGCGGGCCCTAAGCGCATGCCTGTTCCCATCTCACTGTAGGTCACCAATGTAATGTTTGTAGATCCCTTTATTACATTTATCCTCGCCATCCATAGTCTCTAAATAACTTATTTCACGTATATATGATATTTAGGCTCGCTGGTCTCAACGGCAATGAAAATGCACCAGGGGAGGCAGCCATAACCTCTGCTGCACTGAAGGGGGCGCACGTGAGCCCACAGGTTCTTGTTGCTACTGTTATTCTACGCAGAGACGGTAGACGCAAACAACAAACTAGACTTTTGAAACTACAGGAAGATAAGGAGGACTTTTACAAAACAGTAATAGAGATTGTTGTCCAGAAGGATAGCATGGACTTCATCTTCAAGTCAAGGTAAGACCACATTTCTAATGAAAATGGGATCTTACTAAGAAAGAACAATCCAATATTTAGATTTTGGGTATCCTTTTGTTGAACGGTCTGTTTGAAATGAATTGAAGCATCAGACTAAAAAAGCTTTTGAAAATAACCGAATATTTCGATTAAGGTCAAAATATAATATTTGTAAATCTGACTCAGTGAGTCAGTGCCTCACCAGCCATGAACCTCACCGCACGTCACTGCTGCATGTATAGCTAACGAGGCTAGCTATACATGCTAGCGCAAAACAATGTATTCATGACCGTTACAATGAATGACCGAACGTGGCAGACTACCCGTATCAGATTGCAATTATAAACACGTTATTGCTAGCCTAATATGAACCACTAGCTTTTGTTCATAGTAGTTTTATTACTCTACATTATAGTTGCCGTTCCTCCGAGCTAACGTTAGCTACCAAGGTAAACAAAGCTAGGTTAGCATATTAGCTGGCAAGCTGTTCATTAGATTGATTAGATAGATCCACACTCCTACCACAACTACTACTAACGAATCTAAAACAACTAAGTTTCTCTAATATTTTGTGATTTGCATTTGATTTCGTCCAGCCAGATCCTGCCGGACAATATATGACGGGACTACCACACTGAGGCCTCGTCCTAAAAAGCACCGGCTGCTATAGGCAAGATGCCGACAACGGGGAGGAATTGATGATATACCGTGTATATATGTATATTTACGTTCATTTTGTACATTTCTAAAAATAAAGTTGAATGGAAATACTTCGTAGGCCTATCCTTTCTTCCCTGAATTATTTGCTCCTATAACATATCATTCATATATAGCAAACCATGATTTGATTTCTCATCAAACAGTAGTAGTTTATAACGGGTAAAAATAACTTACTCTTTGTTATGACCGGCTCGTAGGCCACAACGGAAAGACAAGGAGACATACACGAGTTTACAAAACCACGGCACATTTATTGTGGTAAATGCAGAGATAGGTGGTCGAGAGGATCGCCGAGCCGCTTTGGAGAGAGAGAGGGGCCGCAGTGTGACTCCGGGCAGCTGGCTAGCACCTCGGCTCCGGAGGTGTCCGTGATCGCGCTGATTAGCCTCTTCAGCTCCACCCCATCGTAAGACAAAGGCCCTGGGGCCGTCACACTCTTCTATAACAACAGTTGTAGGTACAGTTCGGTTAGTTAGCGTATAAAATATACGGCTGTACTGACGCCATTATAAGACTGATGTTACGCTGAGAGCAGCCGGGAAAAGCACTGTTAGACATGGGCGCAGCCTCTCTGGTGGTTGACTAATCAGAACAGAGTGGCCGAGCTGACCAATCGGAGCACACTAGGCTCACAGGGAGGGGGGGGGCAAGAGCTCCAACGAGTCGTTTAGTGGAGAAAGTGAATACTGCTGAATACACATGCTTGACAGAGATGCTGTATGCGAAACCAATGTGAGTTTGGAAAATTGCACAGTATAAATCTATTTTAGTATACCTCAACAATGTAATTATGATCAGTGGAAATGGCCATGACATGGGCCCTTTAATATAAAGGGAGGTCAGGTACTCTTTAAAACAGCTGCTAGTTATGGGTACTTTTTACTGAAGTACATTTCAAAGCCCTCTTTACTTTGACTTGAGTAAAGAAGTTTAGTCGGTACTTCCACTTTTACCAGAGTATTTTTAAACACGAGTATCTGTACTTCTACTTGAGTAAAGTGTGTACTTCTACTTGAGTAAAGCATGTGCTTCTTCTTCACGTCCTGTAGGAGGCGTCTCGCTCCATCCTCATCTTGCTGAAGATGTACCGCATCCTGACGGTTCTGGAGTTCTTCCTGCCGGCCGCCATCTTGCTCTTCTGCTCCGTCAGGATCCACAGCTTCCTGCGAGGACGACAGATCGGGAACCCGGAGAAGGTTTGTCTTTGATCTGTCCTTTATTTCACAGAGAGGGATCTATCTACCTTTGACCTCCTTCTGTCCCTTATAGTCTACGTACACTGGAAAAAATGCTGCTAGTAAATATAGAATAAAAATAAGTAAACGATAAACATTACAGAGGTTTTCTGAATATTTTAACATGTTTTCTTTACACATTTTTAGATTCTGGTGTTTGCAAAGTGCTGTACTAACAAAGCTTTATTCTGATCCTCACCAGGTGCGTAAGGCGATGCGTGTGTGAGTGGCCATCGTGCTGGTCTTCACGCTGTGTTTCCTGCCCACCACCCTCTCCACCCTCGGGCTCTGGTTCATCACCTCCTTCAGACCCTGGGACTGCGCCTCCTTCTACTTCTTCACCCAGATCACCATCGTGTCTCTGGGGATCAGCTCCCTGAACTCTGCTCTGGACCCCGTGGTCTACGTGTTCTCCAGCTCCACCTTCAGGAGGGCTCTCTGCGGCTCGCTGCCCAGGAGCCTGCGCTGCTGCGGGAGGGAAGAGGAGGCGCAGTCATGATCATCGGGAACTCAGCGCACCGTCCATCAGGAGCTGAAGACCACCAGGAGCTGAAGACCATCAGGAGCTGAAGACCACCAGGAGCTGAAGACCATCAGGAGCTGAAGACCACCAGGAGCTGAAGACCATCAGGAGCTGAAGACCATCAGGAGCTGAAGACCATCAGGAGCTGAAGACCACCAGGAGCTGAAGACCACCAGGAGCTGAAGACCATCAGGAGCTGAAGACCATCAGGAGCTGAAGACCATCAGGGGAGGAGGAGAAGCAGTGTAGAAATACAGGAATGCACCGTTTTACCACTTTTTGTGACATTTAAAAAATTGTTTTCTGAAATTGTTTTTGGTTGTTATCCTAAATCTGAATCTAAAACTTAAGATAAATCTAAATCTACAGCTAAAGCTTCATGGAAGATATGAGACTGAAAAGAGAGGTGCAGGAATGAGTCCTTTCATCACTTCCTGTCCCTTGGTCTGGAGGTCAATGCTTTCTGTATTTGGTTGGTTGATTTGCTGTGTGTCTTTTTGTGTTTGGAGATTGTGTCAAATGTTTTAATATTTCAGACATTTTCTTCCCGTTTTTTTTCATTTTCTAAATCTTTTAACATATTTTTTGCACACTTTTGGGACATTTTTCTGTAAATGTGTACATAGGAGATAAAGTCAGTAACAAGGACTACAAATGCTACCAGAAAAATAAAACATTAGAAAGGTAAATACACACAGATTAATGGCAGCATGTTTTGTACAAGGAAGTGAAGCAGTGGAGAGCTACACCATCGATAAGAGGTGCAGGAATGAAGTCCTAAAAAGACACGACTCCTGAAAGGGAATGAGTCCTAAAAGGACACTTGTTATCCTAAATCTGAATCTACTTAAAGGGGACCTATCATGCAAAATGCACTTTTGTACGTCTTGTATACAGTACATGAATATGTGTCCCCGGTGTTCCAGGGAACTCACCAAGTGTCAGAAAACACAACCCTCTCTATTTTCCTCCATACCCAAATCTCTAAAAAAGGGGCTGCAACGGATCTGATAAAACTGAATCCAGATTTGAACACTGTCCTGACGTCAGGACGGTGGCGGCTAGGCTATTGGGCCAACTCCACCAATCAGGAGGAGACAGCCACGGCCATTGCCGTTGGAAAGCGCTGGAGACGCTGTAGTACATATGCCAGGCCTGTAGGTGGTGCTGTTCTCACTGAATCTGCCCTTGCTAAAACAGAGCTAGAAATGGTCAAATTGAGCAAAATGAGGCATGGCTAAAATGCATGATCTGTTTGGTATTTTGAAAAAGAAAAAGTATAAATATGCCTTATATAGGTATGGGTTACACTATATTATTATAATATAGCATGATAGGTCCACTTTAAGATATATCTAAATATACAGCTAAACCTACTTGGAAGATATGAATTTGAAAAGAGTGTTGTGTGTGTTGGACATTTGTGTGAAAGGTTTTAAATGTTTTTCAGATATTTTCTGCTTTTCTTTTTCATTTTTCTGAATCTCTGCACATTTTTCGAAGGTTTTGGGATAAAAAAAAACTTCACAGACATGTTTTATATAGGTATGGCCCTACAATATATTTTTCAAATATAGCATGATAGGTCCACTTTAAAGCAAATTCTGCCGTCATCCTGATGATGGAAACTGAGCGCCATCGTGTGGACAGATCAGAAACTACACCTGCACAGGAATTCTGTCTAACATGGTGACTTTATTAATGTATAGTATCAGATAAGGATAACATGTTAAAGTAAAAATACGAATAGATTATATTTATTGATCCTAAATCAGGAAATGGTTTTGCACAGGAGTGATACATCAAAAATAAACAGAAATGTATGAAATAGAGATAGTATCTTATGAATACAAATATACACAGTGTACAGAACGAGTTAGACCAGACTGCTAGGAATAAAATACAAACATAGGACACGGTCTCCAAAGAAGACTATGGTTCAAGCCACTAGAGGGCAGCAGAACTGTACATACAATATTATATATAATACGTGTGTGTGTGTGTGTGTGTGTGTGTGTGTGTGTGTGTGTGTGTGTGTGTGTGTGTGTGTGTGTGATCATCAAAAGTGGAGAGGCTCATCAGCAGAATGAGGACACACTCTTGAAGATACACACACACACACACACACACACACACTCACTTGAGAATACATTACTCATGTCTGTCTGTTTCGTGGCTCATCGGGACGTTTTTGAATCAAGTGCAGACATTTTATATTGTTATGAAATCTTATGGCATTTCTCACATATTGTAAAGATATTTTCTAGAAATATTTCCCATATTTTTCAGACTCGTTTGGGGACATTTTAAGTGATCGTTGTTTGGTCATTTTATGTGGTTTCCAGACATTGCTCAATATGTTTCAGACGTTCTATACAAATAAGAAACACATTGGTTCTAAGAGCCAGCACTGGATTATAACCTTCCCTTTACCTGAAAGGCTTTTACTGTGAAGACCCACAGGACAACTGGAGAATCAAATTTAAAAAAGGACATTTGAATATACATGAATATACATAAAATATATATATCTCGCTTTCTGCATGATGCACATTGCGTTATAACTCTTCATGTTTCCTGTGACACGCTGACTCTCTGTGTGTGTGTGTGTGTGTGTGTGTGTGTGTGTGTGTGTGTGTGTGTGTGTGTGTGTGTGTGTGTGTGTGTGTGTGTGTGTGTGATTTCTGCTCAGAAGAGGCTCTTCAGAGGACAGATGTCCACTCAGTAATCAGTGTGTGAGGACAGAGAGAACAATCTAAAGACAAGAGCTGCGAGACGCTCTCATATCATATCAGTTTCCAGTCTTTGGTCACACTGTAGAACTTGCAGAGGAGGTTAAAATTACATTTTAACGTCACAGTTTTTCAGTCCGTGGGATGTGGAGTTAAAGGGAACTATCTCAGACTCTCAAAGAAAGGAAAACCTCATTATGATCAGAAATGTTTTTATTGATACTTTTCCAGGAAATAGTCGCCTGAAAGAAAGAGTGGTTTCTGTGTTGGTCCCTGAAGGCATCATCTCCCTGGTCCAATGGGATTCCTCCATTTGATTTTGGATGATTGCATTACGTTGATGATACTAACACGTAGTGAGGCATGTATTCTATATGTATTTAGCTTGAATGTGTAACTAAAGCAAGCATTTCTCAGAGCAAGCTATGTGTCACATGTTACGCTGGGTTCATGTCCCCAGCGATCAGAGAAGGACTTTATTCATCCCAATTTGGGAAGTCTTTGCGGTTCAGCAGCATAAGCAAGGCGTTGCACATTAGAGGAATTCAAAGACCAGAAATAATTACATTTCCCAAATTAGGATCAAAACGTACTTCTTATCTTATCTTATGTGCAGCTAAAGAACTTGTCTGCGTTGTACCTCAGAAGACCAGATGCATGTTTATGGATGTTCTTTAAAAAGTTCAGGTGATAGTCTGAGGGATAGAGGTGTCACGCTTCTACATCTATTATAAACCAGCCCAATAGATGCAGCTGTGTACTTTAAGCTTCAGCATATTCTGTTAAACATAAGTTCCTAAAGATGTTTCACCAAATAGCTTTTTGAATTTAAACTTTTCAGATTTGTTTTCACTTCTAATCTAAATGTGAGAATGTCCATGCTTCAATGTATACACACACACACGCGCACGCACGCACGCACGCACGCACGCACGCACGCACGCACGCACGAACGCACGCGCACACACACACACACACACACACACACACACACACACACACACACACACACACACACACACACACACACACCTTCTGAAATGCAGTGTGGACCAGCTCAGTGTTAATCTCAATTCTTAATACAGTTCCTGTCCTATTGAACAAACACTGCCCTGTGCTACACCCCCTGAACCCCTTCTCTAATTCTGTTTGATTTCTGTTCAGCGCTTCCTTTAGTAATATACGTTCTTGATGGTTTTTGGGACATTGCAAACAAACGTGCTCCACTGTTTCACAATGACCACAATATTCACATTTGCCGAATAATGTGTTATTTAGCCGTGTGACCAAATCTCATTCTTGAAATGATGTCGTCCTCTTTATTTGTACTTCTGTTCACTTCTCTTGTTTCTCCAACTTTCTTTTGAACATTATAAACATGTCTAGTAAAACCTATTGTTTGGTGAAGCAGCTTTGAAAGAGTCAGACGGCTTGTCCTCACCTCACAGACGCTATGAGCTCCATGCCTCCTGCTGTGATCTGATGAAGCTCCTCAGCTCTGATGAACTCATTGAAGACCCCTGGAGACCCTGCAGCTGTTCAACTCCCTGCCTGCGTCACTACACCCCCAACATTACATATCCTCATCTGCATGGTTTGTTTGATGCAGAAAGCCTTTGTCTCATGTTGCAGAATGCTTCTCTTGTTCTGACCCAGAATCCTTTGCACGGTGAGCAAGAGGGTTAAAGTTCATAAGGTGCAAATAAGCATATTTTCTAATATGCAGTGTGTACTTAAAGTAAACAAATAAAAGTATGCAGACATGATTGTAACTTACAACTGCAGACACACTTCTTCTCTCTGGCCTTCTAGTCAGAGCGGAGCACGACTCCTGACTTTAACCCTGTGTTTTATTTTTAAATATCTGTTGTAATTTATTGTCTTTTATTGTTATTATAGAAATGTGTTTTTATGTGATTGTACTTATTACAGTACATGTACAGCACTTTGGCCCGACCAAAAATCGCTTTAAATGTGCTTTATAAATAAACCTTGATTTGATTTGATTTGATTTGATAAAACAAAAGACAATATTTTACTTGAAAAGTGTGTTGAAAAATGGCATAAAATGCATTGCACTTCAAATAAGGGCGATATCGCGGTAAATAAAACCATAAATGTAAGAAAAATACATAAAAATACGGCTGAGAATATAAAAAATGTAGCAAGAGCAAGTGTACAGTGAGTTTCTATGTGATCTAGGTTATATTTTATTTTACTGAAATAAAATGGTACAAATACCTAAAAACTGAGAAAAGACATGTAAAGAAATCCACAATGTGGTTAGGGTCTACATGATGCAGCGCAACACAAAGCAACTGGTAATAAACACAAGAAAGACCACAAAGGGATGCACAG